GGAAGTAAGCCGCCATCATCACGATTTAAAGGAGCGTGGGCGGAGTTCATATGCTAGGCTTTCAAACAAAGGCGCCTGTGGTAACGTTGATAAGAGGTGATAATTTTAGAATTATCCCGGCCACCCAATTGTATGATTAGTCAGGCATGTGTGCTCCGACAGAGCTGAATTTTCTTTTTTGCAAAAGAAGACCGCTTTTTGATGCTCTCTCAAACGCGTACCAAACTGACGTTTGTTCTTTCCTATATACTCGTGATCACAGTCATTTCACGGAAAGAACTCAAAAGAACTCTTCAAAATTTATTCATTATTTCCTTTAAATTAACATTCTCTGTGAACCAGGAGAAAGATGTTCCTTGATAATGGTCATACAGTGCAGAATTATATTGTTTTCATTATCAAATCTTGATCATTTTATCAAATATCTTTCAAAGGATTAGGAATGGCGAATATTCTGTTCCAAAAATAACGTTCCGGCAGATTCATGTTTGACCAGTTCCTCCCGTCAATCTCGGTTATATCGTAATCTCTGTAACTATTTTGAGGTCTAGAATGTTTTAGTGACTTAGCCTCGAGGTCAGCTTTAATTTTTACTAAGCCAGACATCCATACGACCGACGCACTGAGCGGAAACGAACTGTTAGTTTTTACTGAATGAGCAAGCAAGAAAACAGTAGGCCCCGAGACCTTCGCCCTAAGAAGGGCTAACGCTCGTCACATCAGTTTAAGAGGGCAATTCACATTATCAACTCAGTTAATAGATAGAACCAAGTAGTCTCTGGCTAGTTTGCTGGAATAAAACTATTGTAGACATCTCGAGAAAGCTAACTCTGCTCTCCACCCTTCGTCCTTACAAGTCAACTATCCTGAAAGCTAAAATGGTCTCTGGATGATTAGGTCGTCATTTGTTTTAAGGCAAAATATGAAAAAGAAGAAGGTTGTAATTTCGAGGCGAAAATCAACTTCGAAATTAAGTAGTTTATCATTGTCATCAGAGCACTGCCTTGCACCTCGGCCGGAAACAAAATCACCATTTGTTGCTAACTATAGTAACTCAAAGTGTGTCACCCTCGCATTTCTGGAAATGAATTGGAAGACAAAGTTTTTGGATCATACCTGTCTTTTAGAAAGTTCTTAGGATCTCAATAGAGAGTCTTGATTACTGTTTGACTTTCTCATGGCATGTCTCTAACACGGGGGCAAGTTTCAGATGACTTTAAATTTAATCAAGATGTTTAGACGTCATCGCCCAGAGTAAATTTTCCATACTAATCGATTGATAAAGTCATTCGCAGTTCACTCTACCACTTAATACAACTGATGTCCATTTTTTTGTCAGCAAACACTGATAACGATCTTGAAATATTCTCAAGAAAAGAAACCGGCTGAATAAATGGAAATTTATTTTTATCAAAACTTGAAAAGGTAAAAAACGGGCAGCTCTAAAAACGTTTTTATCGGAAAAAGTTTCAATGAAAGCGGGTTTCATTTTTTCCAATCAGTTGAACGCGTAATTTTCCCCAACTGGAACAATTTTGCACCCTGAAAAATGCCAGTTCGACATTTTTGCCTCATTGCAATGTGTGTGCGAGCGAAATATTCGCAATTTGGCAGTGTTCCTTCGCCCCTGGTCTTCCTGTTTTGTTTACACGAGGAAACAAAAACCACGATGAGACATCTCTTGCTTGGAGGCAATAAAAATATCAATTTTTGTTCAACGTTCATGTTGGATGTTTGTACCGCCCACATCAGCTATGATTGGATACGCATATTAACGAACAATTTTACTGAGTTTTATTCAGAGACATCATTCTTAGCGCAAAACCACAGTTATCGTAACGACCTATTAGAAGAAAGGGAATACCTTAAAGAACCAATGAGAACTCAAATCCAAAGCGGGGAAAAACATGGGTGACTTATTCGTGTTTAGTTTTAGTTTTGCATGTGAGGGGTATCGAATGGTCCCATTCAATTAAAAAGTGCTCACAAAATTTGGCCTTTGCTCGAGTTGCTCGCAAAAATTACACGGGTGCTCGCTTGCTTGTGCTTGCAAAATTTTTGAAACTGCTCGCACGCTCGCATTCTCGTTAACATGTGCTCGATTGCTCGAAATTTCGTTTATCCTGCTTTGCAGTTATTTTTTATACATAAATAATTATGTACTATGTTACATTATAATCTGATGCCAAACGGTGGCATGTGAAACCCGATTACTCAAAACAACATTAATAACAACCCTCGGTCGTTTGTGCTTCACCGGCTCAGGGAAATTCTTGGATGAAATGTTGCTTTAATTATTTTAATCAAAAACTAAAGGCCTAGCCAAACGAGGATACATGTCGAGAAACTATGTCTCCATGTCGCGCGGAAACACAAAATGTAAGAAATCTTCTCGAAAGGCACTCGCGAAGGTAGAAAGTAATCTAGAGAAATACTACTATTACCAGTTCTATTTGACCTTCAGAGCTACCATTAGAGCTTTTCAGATCTGTACGGCTGTAATTGGTTAGATTCTAGAGGCCTCCAAATAAATAAAGCTTCATTGCGTTGAATCTTTTTCAGTCAATCAGCGGGAAACCAGTTTGCCGATCATCGAAATCAAAGCCCGAAATGCTTGTTAGACCGAATGTCACGTTATTTACATTTCATAAGAACCATGTGACCGAAAAAAAAAAGAAAAAACATACCTTCCATTTTAGCGTCGGGTTAGAAAGAGATGAAAAACTTTAGATCGCGGGCTTTGGATCTAATAGATCTCCTTGAGAGCTCTTGAAGTTCTTGAGCGCCCACCCTGACTGACTCACGTGAAGCTAAGTGACGTAATTTGGCATCAAGCAGGGCACAATTGGATAAGATGTATATACTGGGACTGGTTTAACCGCCTTAGCTTTGCACCTATTGTTGTGTTTTTCCGGCTAACGAAATATTTACGAAGTACTCGAAGTGCTTGCTGCTCGCCATCTGTATTTTACTAAAGGGCTCGCTGCTCGCCATCTGTATTTTCTTAAGTGCTAGAAAAAATTGACAACTGCTCGTGCTCGCAAAAATAAACACACTGCTCGCATGCTCGAAAATGCTCGCAAAAGCCATTCGATTGGTTGAGAGAGTGAAGCAAGTTTTCTGAACCAATCACAGAACAAAGTAAACAAAACCGAATGCAATCTTAAATTACTTTTGACATTTAATTGAAAATGGCTTAAACTTATTGTCAAGTTATGATTATTGAGCACTTAGGGTGATATTGACTTTTCAGAGATAAAAAGGTAACCTAGAAACTTGATGACCATGATGACTGGCGCTCTCTGCTGTTTGACTAGAGCCTAGTCTCCCGATCCACACTGGTGCTCTTTGTAATGCTCAATCGAGGGTGTGATAATTTTCTCCCCGAATGCTTATTCGATGAGGTAGACCTCTTCACGAGAAATATTTTGACAGCTTTCTGAAACTCTGGACTGCGAAAGCTGTATAAAATTGGATTCAAGGCCGAATTCAGATAACCCAACACGAGAAAAAAGCCTGTCACATACGTATAAATATTGTATGGGACATTGATGAAACACTGTTTGCAAATGCTAAACGTTATGCTACATAATGTGTGCGGAAACCAGCAGAATACGAAGGAAAAAACGATCAAAAAGGTTGTCTTAGCTGCGCGACTGTTGCGCTTTTGTAGTTTCTTAAGAAGGAAGTCTTCCTGTTGTGCAGATTGGTATAACACCCTATCATCAACAAGATGTGGTTTGTAGAGGTGTTTCGAAGGCTTGGATTTCAGTGGTGACTCGGTGTTTTCACGCTCATAGAGTGAACAGTTTTGAATCGCTGTACTGTAGCTTGAACTGTGTCGGTTTTTACCACAACGCTCATCGACCCTCAACGCTTTGCGGGAGAGCTTTAAAGCAAGGCAGAACATTCTGCAGTTTAGGATGGAAGCAGTCATAACTGGCGTCACAAAATTTATCATCGAGCTCAAGACTGAGTAAATCCAAGAGACGTTGAAATGACAGTATCCATTAAAGACACGTGTTGGGTACGTTTTCCAGCCAAAGACCGGGACAAGTGAAAAGAGCATGGAGTATCCCCATAAACAGCAGACGACTATTAAGGCGCGCCTGCGTGTGATTAGTGGTGATGATTTGTAGCTATCTAGAGGGTCTTGTAGGAGTCGGTATCGATAAACTGTCAGAGCTAACAAGCTTAGAATAGACGTTGGCACTGCCAGTAGGTAAGTTGTTGTCCAAACATTGCACATTACCTCACCATGTTGCCATTTGCCATTTAAAATTAAACGTTCCAAGTCGAACGGTATCACCACACATGTTGTCGTCAGATCAGAAACTGCTAGCGAGAGGATGAAAAACGAGTTGACAGATCGCCGCAGGGATCTGGTGCTGAGTATGACCACACATACTATGATGTTTCCTAGAAGTGAAGCGATGATTATAAAGACATACAATATGGCAGTTATGGCAATAAACTCAAGGTCACCTCTACTAGTAACATTTCCTGTATGTTGTGAGTCATTCATCTTGAATCCAAATGCAGTGCCCTTGAGCTAGGTATTTTTTAAGTTTCTGAAAAAAAAAAAAAAAAAAAAAAAAAAAAAGAAAGAAATTTGTTCTTTAAGTATTGCTGTAGAAGTAGACACGTCAAAGGACCATTCGGGTCACGGAAAATGATGCTGCACAGGAGAACAGAACGATCAGAAGGGGTTTTCTTTCTCTAAGTTTAACTTTCCTTTAGGATAAATTTGACGGGCAAAAAAGTGGTACATTAAAACTTAATAATAATAATACTAATAATTAAAATAATAACAATCAAATCTTATTGTGAGGTCTCTTGGGGTAATAGGGTTTGGTAAAGGTGTTTAAACTTGTTTCTATGTTCATTCTGGTATACACCTTTGATTACGTCCTGACTTAAGCATTCAAACTCTGGAAAATCTTGATATTGAAACTCGTAAACCCATCGCCTTCACGTTACACTTTGACGGCTAGCTGTTTAGTCCTATTCTTATGACGAAAACCGCTTGTAGTACTTACTAAGGGCCTAGTTAGCGCAGGTAGTGACAGGCAATTACTCTTGGCACTTCGTGTCTCACTCAGAAAGCATCGCTTTCCGACCGTGCCACGAACGGAAAGGTTCGCCTGCTAGAGTCATTGAAGCTGATAGGGTTTCAAAAAACTCGTATAAACGCAATCACATTTAACCTAAAGACGGTCGCTCTGCAATTATGGGGTTATTTCTTCGAGAAATAAAGTCAATGTAAATCCTTTGCTCCTTCTGTAACA